CAAGGCCAGTATATATATTTTCCAGGAGCGCTGATTGCACAGTGGTTAAGCACTTGGCTGCTAACCGAAAGGTCAGTGGTTTGAATTTACCAGCTGCTCCACAGGAGAAAGACGTAGCAGTCTGCTTCTGCCTCTGTAAAGATTTACAGCCTTGGAAACCCTATGGGTCAGTTCTCTGTCCTATAGGGTCGCTGTGAGTTGGAATCGACTTGACAGCAAACAACAACAATCGACTTGACTTCCAAGAAAGTGTGTGTGTGTGTGTGTGTGTGTGTGTGTGTGTGTTTATCTGTATGTGTGTCCTTGAAACTAATTACTCCAGATGATATAACAACAAATAACCTAAAACTTCCTTTGCTATTATTCCTGTATGGGTTTCTGATATTAATAACAATAATTACTTCCTATTACACCTATGTGCAAATTTACCCAGAATAATTGTCTTTATGATTTCTTTTATTAAGGATAGAGAAAATGGCAAACTGCCAGCAAGTTTGTGAACTTTCTTTACTAATGGATCAAGAGATCACTGAAAAAGCAAAACAGGAAGACAAAGTAAAATTTCTCCTAAGAATAGCTGTCAAAGAACCAATTTAGTGGAAAGGATAGCTCTTTGGCCAGATAGAACTATCTGGTAGCAGTTGACAGCATTCCTGGAGGGTGTCAAAGGCAAGCCACAGGTTTAACACGGATTTTTCAGAAGTGGTTCCTGATTTATTTTAATTATTGTTGCTGGACTTGCATTTCTTTCGATGGACAGTTCTACCTAATTAAGAAAGCTCTTTTTATAGTTAAATTTTGCTTGTCACTCACAGTTTAAAGTTTAGCTATTACTAGCTCCTAATTGGTATGCCACAAATGAACCATAATATTGACCTTGGTGCTCTCTGACCCTGACATTCCCTTTCGATTTGAAGTACACATTCTCGGGAGCTAGAGGTGTTCCTCCCAGGCACTCCGAATCTGTTTTCTTCTCCCACAATAGGAAAAGGCAGCACGGGCTTTAATGGCGAGGCTGTGGTTGATGGAGAATCCCTGTTCTAGGGATATGTTCACAGCATAGACTGTAACTCAGGAAGGGACCTAAAATCAGCCAGTCCAACCTGCCTCAGTACGGGAGCCCTATACAGTGTCCTGACATGTGGTCATCTGGGTATGCTTGACACTTTCCATGCTAGGGAGCTCAAAACAACACCAGGAAGTCATTGGGGGTCATCTTTAGTTGTTAGAAAGTTCTTATCTCGAATTAAATCTTGTCTCCCTCTAGCAGTGATTCTTCACCTTAGTTACACATTAGTATCACTTGGGAGCTTTTAAAAATTCCAGTGTTCAGACTGCCACTTAGACCAATTAAATCTGTATCTCTGAGGGTGGGGCCCCAGCACCAGCATTTTTTTTTAAAGCTCCTCAGTGATTTCCGTGTGCAAGCAAGTTTGAGAACCACTGCTTAAAGGCTGCTCATTGTTCCTATTTAGATACACAACCTACACAACATTAAGTATGACAACCCTATCACGGAGGTTTCTCTGATGGCCCTTATTAAATAGCCAGCCCTTCATCCCCCAAGGGCAGTCCTGTCTCCCTTACTCTATATTTTTTTGCCATTGCACCTAATACCAGCTGATACCTTACATATTTTCTCGTTTATCTATTTGTCTTCTTTCTTCCACTAAAATGTATGCTCCTGGAGCCCTGGTGGTATAGTGGTTAAGAGCTCAACTGCTAACCCAAAGGTCGACAGTTCAAATCCACCAGTCGCTCCTTGGAAACCCTATCAGGGGCAGTTCTACTCTGCCCTATAAGATCGTTATGCATCAGAATCGACTCGACGGCAATGGGTTAGGGTAAGGTTTTGTGTGTTTTGCTTCTTGCTGCTTCCCTAGAACCTAGAACAATGCCTAATGCATAGCAGGTTCCCAGAAAATATTGTTGAATGAACGAATGGATGAATCTACTCTAATTTCAAATGGAGACATTCATGGTTCAGTGGTAGAATTTTTGCCTTACATGCAGATGACAGATCATGGGGAGGTTTGCAGAACTGGACAGCGTTTTGTTCCATTGTACATGAGGTCTCCAAGAGTTGGGGGCTGACTCGACAGCAAATAATAACAGCTATTTCAAATGACAGTCGTTCGGATAGTTAAAGAAAGCTTTTGTGTCTCATCCCTGGGTCTTCTCTTCTCTAGGTAAAAATCTCTTCAGTACCTTCAACCAGTCTTCAAAGACATTGACGAATAAACCTCACCATTATAAATTCAATACTTCATCCTTTTACTCAACCAGCAAATAACTGAGCACTAGTATAGACACTATTCCAGGCACTGGGAATTGTTGTGAATAAGATAACCAAAGTCAATCTGGAGGGTGAGGCACAGTCAATAATTAATAAAAAGAAAATTGTTCCAGATAACAATAATGCAATAAAGAAAATTAAACAATTCTATTAGATATGTAACATTAAATGGGGGTTAAATTTAATCTGAGACCTGAATGGTGAGAAGAAGCCAGTCATGTGAAGAAGTGTTCCAGGAAGAAGATGTAGCAAGTACAGAAACCCTAAAAAGCAAGCAAGCTTCAGATAGACTCTGAGTCGGACGCTCTGACTAGGACAAAGAAGGAGCCACTATCACCTCCTTTGATAGACACTTGCCTCAGTTAACATGGCCTAAGCCCTGGTGGTGAACAGTTAGGCGCTCGGCAGCTAACCCAAAGATTGGTGGTTTGAACCCACCCAGCAGCTCCACAGAAGAATAGACCTGGTAATCTGCTCCCATAAAGATTATAGCCCTATGGGGCAATTCTGCTGAGTCACATGGGGTCACTGTGAGTTGGAATAGACTCTATGGCACCTAACAACATCAAGAAGATCTGGAAGTTTTAAAGTCCTTTCAAACTTTATCAAGAAGAACATTTTATTAGTCTATAAAAAAATAAAAATTTTCCTGTAGCCACTGAATAGCCTGCAGATATTATGCTTTCATTTATAGTATATACTCACTTCCAAGTTAATAAAACAAAATGTTGAGTTTACACTAGTAGAGCAGGGGTGAAGAATCAAATTAGATCCTGAAATAGACAAGAAAACAAATTCCACCTAGGTGGTGCAAACAGTTAACGTACTTGGCTGCTAACCTAATGGTTAGAGGTTTGAGTCCACCAAGAGGTACCTTGGAAAATGGCAGCCATTGAAAACCTTATGGAGCAGTTCTACTTTGACACACATGGGGCCCCCATGAGTTGGGGTTGACTCGATGGCAACTATTTTTGTTTTTACATCACATCAAATTGGCTCTTGGTGGCCACGTTACTCTATTGATACAAAAAAGAAAAACAACCAAATCCATCACTGTTGAGTCGATTCTGACTGATGGCGACCCTATAGGACAGAGTAGAACTGTCCATAGAGTTTCCAAGGAACGGCTGGGGAATTCAAACTGCCGACCTTTTGGTTAACAGCTGCTGCACCACCAGGGCACCAAATGATACGCAGTAAGGTCTTTTTCCTCACTGAATTAAATCTTTCCTGTCCAGGAATTGTGTTGTTGATAGTTATAGCTTAAGTGTGGAAGGGGGATTTAGATAAATTACTCGGAATTTTTTTCCTCTGAACCCCAGCTATAAAGACTTGCAAAAAATAAGTAAGTGAGAAAATAAATAAGTAAAGAAGCTGCCTCTTAGCAGAATGGAGCCAATTTCTGGCTCTCTTTAGCCGCTGTAAGACTGGTCTCTTACTCTACTTGGCACCTTGTCTTCTTGCCAGGCCTCATGGAGGAAGTTGTGGACAAGGCCAGAACCAGGACTTGGTAGGAATCTGCCATTTGGAACCAATAGCCTTCTTGATTTTCAGTCAAAAGAGCTCAGTAAAGACAGATAATCTTTGATCTGGGGGTCAAGTGTGTTTGTTCCCAGTGGTGGGCTCACAGAACAGGCAGGCTGTCCCAGACCAGCCACTAATGTGCTCTGACAACTCAGTTCCCCTCTCTGAGACTCCGTTTCTCCATATTGAAATGTGGGGCTTGAGTCTGGGAGTTTTAAGGGCCTTTCAAAGTTTATCAAGAAGGACACTTCATTACTCTATAAAAAAATAAACTTTTTCCTGTAGTTTCTAAATAGCCTGCAGATATTATGCTTTCATTTATAGTATACGCTCACTTCCAAGTTAATAAAACAAAATGCTGAGTTTACCGTAGGGGGGCAGGGACTGAAGAATCAAATTAGATCCTGAAATTGACAAGAAAACAAATCTGACCTGTGGAAAAAAGTGGCAAATATTGAGCACCCGTAGAAATGTAGCTCAGGGCAGCAAAAGGAAGTCCCTGAGCTTATTGAGTGGCTGCTATCTTTCCAATGGACTTCATAGATCCTAGTGAACTGATATAAGAACACCCCCAAGTCATGATCGTCCCTCTCTGGGACAGTTCACCTGTAAACTCAGCTTCTACTTGGGCTGAAATGGGGTACTGAAAAAGGGTAGCCTTTTTATTTATGCAGATTAGGGTTTAAATCACCATCTTTAATTCATTCAACATTGTCATACATTCATCCAATAGATGCGAACGACTCATTGAATATACATCAATGAATAAATCAGACGAGGTCCTCGCCTCATGGAGTTTACAACCTAGTTGCATAGGTACACAAAATAGGAATTAGCCAAATACATCTCTGAGTATAAGCTGAGGTAAGTGCTCTGAAAGAAAGACACAAGTTCAGTGTTTGTTGTGTGATCTCTGGCTAGTAAATTCACCTCTCTGAGGCTCATCCTCATCATATGAAAAATGTGGATCATACCACAAACCACATACCTGTAGTGGTTAATCAAGGTAACATGTAAGTGATGGACACAGACCTGGCATATATTAGGTGTACAATGAATGTGTGTTGCAGCTGCTATTGGTAAAGTGACCTTTCTGAAGGTGAATGAGGAAAAGATGGATTTTCTCTTCCGTGTTTCAGAGTTTTCTCCAATTCCTTGTTTCATTTTGTGTGACTTGCAGTTCCAAGGAGGGTTTCGGGTCAGTGGAGAAGGTCGTGTTGCTCACGTTTCTGTCAGCGGTTATCTTGATGGCCATCTTGGGGAACCTGCTGGTGATGGTGGCTGTGTGCAGGGACCGGCAACTCAGGTGAGCAGCACGAGGAAACCTGGGTGGCATTGTGGGCTCTCCCTGAAAGTCAGGGTCTGAACATTTCCACCATACTTTGTAACTATGGCAGAAACAAAAGAAATGCATGGCAACACTTTTTGTAAAATAGAGCAGGGAAAAGGGGATCATAGAACTCTAACATAACTAGTGTTAGCAACTTAGTATGTTTCCATCCTGTCCTTTTTTCTGTATTTCCCCTTTTTTTTAATGGTAGTTATTACTATATATACCTTGTTAAAAACACATTTAATCTAACCTACCCACTTTAGCAACAGTTCAGAGAAGGGATGGCTGGCTAATGACTGATCCAGGATTTAAACCTGGGTCTTCTGCTCTTTCCACGTTATGCGTTCCAACCCTGGCCGAAATTAGAATCACCTGAAGCACTTTTAAAACTTACTATTGTGTGGTATAAGTATGGCCCATGAAATATTTGGGACACATTGCTGTTGTGTGCTATTGAGTTGTTTCTGACTCATAGTGACCCTATAGAACAGAGTATAACTGCCCCATAGGGTTTCCTAGGCTGTAATATTTATGAGAGCAGATCCCGAGGTCTTTTCTCCTGCAGAGCTGCAGGTGGATTCAAATCGCCAACCTTTTGGTTAGCAGCTGATCACTTTACCATTGTACCAGCAAGGCTCCTTATTTGGGACCATCTTATACTCAAAAATTATTCATTGTTTATTTGAAATTCAAATTTAACTAGGTGTCCTGTATTTCATGTAGCAACCCTAGAGGTTCTGAAACTAATTCATTTAGGGTGAGAAATGAACATCAATATTTATAAAAATTCATCAGGTGATTCTAGTATGCAGCTGGATTGAGAACTACCAGGCCCTAAAAAGGGATAAAGATGCAGTACCTGCCTTTATCTGCTGCCATCCTCTGTCAGCAAGACATGCACTAAGCAAATAGTGCTGCAAATAAGTGTCAAAGTGCCAATTCTGACAAGTGTCACAAATAGGAAGTCCACTACCATTTGTGAGAGGAGCATCTTGGGAGGGTCCTTGGGAATGACCAAACTGAGGACCAACTGAGAAGGGGTGGCTGCGACTGAACTGGGCCAATAGCACGGGGATGCATGGACTGGGAAGAGGGAGCACCCTGTATAAAGGTCCTGCAGTGGAGAGCTCAAGGCCTCGAGGGACTTAGATAAGGCCAGTGTGGCCACCCAGAGGGGAAGAAGAGGAGGGGGCTTTTGGTGCAAAGTGGGTCTGGAGGACTCAGAAGAGACAGGATCACACAGGGCCATATCAGCCATGTTACAGAAGGGAAAACTGAGTCTCAAGAATACATTACACCTTTTCCTTGTCCTGCTTTTCATGTTTCCTTCTTTCTTTACTTCCTTTTCCTCTCTTTCTCCATTTGTTACTTCCCTCCTTTCTTCTTCCCTCTCCCTGACTCCCCCTTATACTTTTCTCTCACAGGAAAATAAAAACCAATTATTTCATTGTATCTCTTGCCTTTGCGGATCTGCTGGTTTCGGTGCTGGTGATGCCCTTTGGTGCCATTGAGCTGGTTCAAGACGTCTGGGTTTATGGGGAGATGTTTTGCCTCGTCCGGACATCTCTGGACGTCCTGCTCACCACAGCATCGATTTTTCACCTGTGCTGTATTTCGCTGGATAGGTAAGGCTAGAGCAACGTGGAGTGTGAGACTGCATGCTGGAGACAATGGCCAGATTGATATTGTGCAATGTCTTTCTTTCTTCCCTAATTCATTAAAAGAAATGACTCTAGAGAGGTAAAATTGGTTATTCAGTAATTCATTCACTCTATGGCCTTTTTAGTCACATATTTTCTTAGGCACTGCAGAAAAGAGATTAATAAGACCTAGAACCTGCCTTCAAGGTTCTTACCATCTAGACAGCAACAGGTACAAGCAATCTAGAGTATCACAGGGCTCTGAATTTTATACTGATGGTATGAACAGAATTCTGAAAGATCCCAGTGGCAAGAATGAACATGCCTACCTAGTAGGTGGCCGGAGCAGTTTGGAATGGTAATGCCTTATGTTTGAACATGACCTTTACCTGAAAATGCATCTATAGCATACTTCTCTGTGTGCATGTGTATGTGTGTGTGTGTGTGTGTGTGTGTGTGTGTGTGTGTTTAGGTATGTGCATGTGATTGTGGGTCAGGTGAAAGGGAACAATTCTAAGGATTATTATGAAATCCCTACTAATTGTTTGTCTTTTGGACCTGGCCCTAGCTAGCATTTTATTCCTGTTGCATGATTTTGTTCTTTGTCTTCACATTTGACTTTGAGAGACCTGTTGCTTTCCATCTTTGTGTCATTTGCATTACGTTGAAGATGTATGCTTATCACTCGATCTGCACTTTTCATTTTCCACTTCCTGCTCATTTGTATTCAGTAATAAAGGCAGAATGCAGTTTGAAAGTCGGATGGTTACACTAACATGTGCTGCCATCAATGTAGTCATAACGAAGGGGCTAGTTCCCAAAAGAAAGTGTGGGGTGCAAATTATGTGTTATCTGAATTTCCAGGGGAAATCACTTACTATCTCTCAAGCAGGCCAGCAGATCCAGTTTCTCCTCCAGTCTTGGCACAGGCCACTGTTTCTTTAGTCAAGGACAGAAAAAGTAGCTGATTGAAATTCAGGATTGTGGTATTTCTAAAATACGCACCTTTAAACACTAAAATCATAGTCTGCCCAGAGACTTGCTCACACTGAGGGAGGCCGTTAAGGATCAAAGCCAGCTGAGGGAGCAGCGATTCATCTCCCGTCTCATAGACATGTTAGCATTGATTGGGATGGCAGACTTAATGGCCTGCTCTACTTAAACTGCACCTCTCTCTCTCTCTTTTTTGCTCTGCCAAGAACACATAGTTGAATGTGCTTAAGTTAAATGCGCTTGTAATGAGAATCCACTACACAGCTAGAGATAGTGACTGGGTATAACTTGGCTGTTGGCTGGCAGCCAGCCAAATCAAGTGTCGTAGTTTGAAATTTGTGTTTATTAGCTCATTTACAACAACTTGGATTCAGTACGTGAAAGGATTTTTAAGAGTGTCAGTGTATACTGTATGAAAATTCACATTACATAAAATAAAATGTAAGGAAGGAGACAGTATATGGAAGTCCAGGGGAGCAGGCATGTGATCTTTGCCAAAACGAGTGGAAAGACTGACAGTATTATGGGATTTGGAGAAGGCAAGATGAGGGTGATCAAGGCAGCTGGAGGTAACCTTGAAGTTCGGGCAAAAGTGAGTGAAGTGTGGGAGAAAGTGTAGAATCAGATCTTTCTGGCATAGACAATTTACTTTGGCATCCCTGAGAAGTTTGAAGGTTTTCTAGGCAGGTTTGGCTTCAGAGTTCCAGACTTATACTGAAGTTCTTTTAAAATCATGAAATTTGCACTGAGCAGGCCTGAGTTGTCATGAAGAAGTAAGGATGGTCATGAAAAACTATCTGCTTTAGAATTGAGGAGATTTGGGTTCAAATCTAGGAGCCCTGGTAGCACAGTGGTTAAAGCACTTGGCTGCCAACCTAAAGGTCAGTGGTTCAAACCCACCAGCTGCTCCATGGGAGAAAGAGGTGGCAGTCTGCTTCCATAAAGATTTACAGGCTTGGAAACCCTATGGGGCAGTTCTACTCTACCCTATAGTGTCACTTTGAGTCAGAATCAACTTGACAGCAAAGGGTCTGGTTTGGGGTTCAGATCCCTGCTTTGTCACTTTTTAGTTTTGAGAAGGGTGATAAATTACTTAGTTTTTCTGAGCCTCAGTGTTCTCATCTATAAAAATAGGGGAAATAGCTCATATTACATAGGATCGCAGTTAACCTTAAGTTATGTAATCCAGGTAAAGCATAGCATTGGTGCAGCATGGCACAGTACTCAGTATTAGTTTTGATACTATCCATGCAGCTGATGATCTTTCTCTGCAAACTTGGCCCTCCTTCTCAGTGAATAGTGTTCCAGCAGCTGCATCAGCCAGAAACCAGGTCATTATTCTTAATAATGGTATTTCCTTATCCCCTACATCTAAATAATGACAGGTCCTATTGATTTTCCTTCCTAAGCAGATCCTAGGTCGGCAGTTCAAATCCAGCAGCCGAACCCTATGGAGCAGTTCTACTCTGTCCTATAGGGTCACTAGGAGTCGGAATTGACTTGACTGCAACGGGCTTGGTTTGGTTTTTTGGAAGCAGATCCTAGTCTGTCTGTTTCTCTCCACTCTGGCATTCTAGTCCAAATTAATATCATCTCTTGCATCAGTCACTGCAACTGCCTCTTACTTGTTCTCTCCAAGTCTGTTTTATTCCCCTCCAGTCCTCTTTCCGCGTACAAGATCTCATGAGCATCTTTTGAAAAATTCAACTCTGATCCTGTTGCTCCTTTACTTAAAACCCTTCAGTAGCTGTTGGTCGCACTGAGGATCAAGGTCAAGCTCCTTGGCCTGTAGGATTGTCTGTTTCTTGCCCACATCCCCAGCCTTGCCTCATGCCCCTCTCCAGCCTCACTCGCTAGATTCTGGCTGCACTGGCGTTTTTTTCTCTTTTTCCAATGCCCTGTGCTCAGTTGCCTCAGGGCGCTGGTTCCTCCTCTGCATGGAAATCTCCTTTGCCTGCTCCTCTCCTTTCTTGTCCTTCAGCTCTCAGCTGTGTCTTTTCTTCTTTAGAGTAGCCCACTCTAGCCCTATCAAACTTATTCTTCTTTGTATAATTTAGTGCAGCTGGGATTAAAATCAGTTATGTAATTTCCTGTTAAATGTCTCTCTGTCTCCTGCAATGGAAGGAGACTCAAGGCTGTGAGCGAGGGCAAGGCCCCTGCCCTCTTGAAATTTACATTCTAATGGAGGAGAAGGAGAATTAGCCAGCAATTACATAATTACTTACATCGGTGTTTGGTAAACACTTATTGAACAAATGGAGCGTTCAGCACATTCTCTTTTTGAGCAGTGTTAAAATACCCTGCCAGTAACTTCCATTTAAGGAGCCCTGGTGGCACAGTGGGTAAATGCTTGATTGCTAACCAGTGGTTGGTTTAAACGCACCAGCCATGCCACAGGAGCAAGATGTGGCAGTCTGCTCCCATAAAGATTTACAGCCTTGGAAACCCTATGGGGCAGTTCTACTCTGTCCTGTAGGGTCACTATGAGACAGAATGGACTCAATGGCAACGGGTTTTGTTTTGTTTTTTTTTAGAACTTCCATTTCCTTCTCTGATACCAAAAACCAAACCCACTGCTGTCGAGTGGATTCCGACTCATAGCGACCCTATAGGACAGAGTAGAACAGCCTCACAAGGTTTCCAAGGCTGTATATCTTTACAGAAGCAGATTGCCACATCTTTCTCCCACAGAGTGGCTGGCGGGTTCAAACCACCAATCTTTCAGTTCGCAGTTGAGTGCTTTAACCACTGTGCAACCAGGGCTCCTCCCTCTCTCTGATAATGGGCATCAAAAACTCCACTACCATTACATTAGATGGAGCCAGATTCTTTTGTTTGGTTTTCTTTTCCTCTAGGAGCCTGGGAAATTTGCCAGTTGTCTCCAGCATTCTCTGTCCCAAGAGTGAAACTCTCACTGAACTAGAAGATCCACCCTGAACATAGCAGGGCAGTGTTTTAGCCTGAAAGAGTATGATTTCACTTTTCATCCAGCTTCTGTTTTTGCTGTGACTCTCCTGGCCTGCAGGTGGGCTGGGCGGGGCTGGGCCACAGTACACAGCAAGTGTCCTCAGTGAGGTGTGATGTCATCGCTAGCCCTGTGGTTACCTGGCATGATGCCTCCTGCTCCTCCCTCAGGCTGCAGCATCTGCTGGTATGACTGACATCAGTGCTTCTCTGGCAGGAATACTGCCTTTGATTCCTAATCCCCTCCAGATTGCAAGCCCCTGGATCAAAGCAAAATGCAGGGCTCCTTTAATAGCATAAAATGCATCCCCAACTACCAATCTTGATTCACTGAGCTTCCTAGTGCTTTGAGAACTGAATCCTGTTAACAAAGAAAATTTATTGCCTCATAAAAAATAATTTTCCAAACATGATGTAAATATACGTGTTGCATAGTAAGGGCCATGGAAGGTCACAAATGCATTAAAAAGCCTTACAGTATAGTTGAGTTTTTAAAATGTAAACTTCTGTAGTGAATGCAAATCAATCAAGTATCTATAATTGAGCATCGATTTAAAAAGTGGAATATAATGCAGATGTTACAAACCATGAGAAACAGTTATACGTGTGGTCCTAGAAGGATCACTGGTGTATTATGTGAAAAAAGAGAAGTTTCAGGCTTTAATATTTACTATAACTGTAGTTTTGTAAGATAAACATATAGATATGTACATCTGCATATATGAAAGACAGAGACTATATATATGAATGAATTTGCACCAAAGCATTAAGTGCTAATCTAGTGTAACCAACTCTTTTCTAATTGTTACTATTTATTTTATTATAACAATAATACTTGATCCTTATTTTAAAAAAATGCCATTAGTTTACAAGAACATAACAAGGTCTCCAGTTCCCCCTCTTCAAGTCTGCAGCCACACACCCTAGAGGTAACCACTGTAAATAGTAAACCCCCGTAAATACTCTTCCCGTCATTTTCTACGCAATAAGCAGATTTGTTATGTGAATATGTTTTAGGTTACCCAAGT